AGCAGCTGATGTGGTCCATATAATTTATTTTTGAGTTATGAGTTGAGTTATTATGAGTTGAGTTATTATGAGTTGAGTTATTATGAGTTGAGTCAGGTTTTATAACAGGAGCGCTTAAAATAACAGATGTCAGCTTGCATCTGAAGTTAGCTCACCTACCAAGAACTGCTTGTTACCCTTGGCAACTGTTGCCATGACAACCTCCACAGCCAAATTCTGAATGTTAATGCCTGCTGAAGGAAGAGCTGCTGACAATGCTTCAGTTCAGATTTTGTTCTTGTTTGCCACGGAGCAAATCAGCACATACTGCGTGTATATTTCTCTGCAGCAGTGTGTCTGATGGGGGAACAGAATCATAGCGATGAAACATCCGTGTACGGCAATTGCGTTCAAGTGCATTAACCATGCGAATTATTTAATGGGTTGAATAAACCAGTAGAATATTTTTGAAGTATTTGTGCATCCTTTTGTGGACAGCGTCAGAAATACTGCATATTCAATTTCTTCACTTGTGCCCGTTTCAGCACCGTAGACAGCGCCCGCCCGCGTGCTGCCCCGTCGCCAAGGAAACGAACTGAGGAAGGCTCGCGCGTCACAAAAGTATTCGGCAGGCGAACGTTCAGACGCGCTTCCCGCATTGGCGCTGCATCCGGGAACCTGCCAGTCTTCGTGCGGGTGGGGAAACTGTGAGAGTAATGGCGTTTCCTTATGTAAATATCCGAGAGTATCGCCTTGAATCATATTTATCTGTGATGTTCAGGTATATTTCTAAATTTAACGGAGGATGGAAATTTTAATAAATTAACGTAACAGTCATCTGTCGTTTAAGTTATTTGTATTGCTTCTTATTATGATAAAGACAGCGTTCGTTATTTTGATCCGTGTTTTAAAGTATTGTTCGTCATTAAAATGTATCACATTCTATTGGTTTTCCGATTAGGTAATATATTAAACTTCAAATGGCTACATCTCCAGGTCAAAACGACCCGCACGAAGCCGGTGTTGTGATGAGTTGAGCTACCTATCGAAACGTGCTATCGAGCCTTTCGGCGCATGTGCAGTTCCACCGTCTTGGAATTAGGGTTAGGTTTTAGGGGTTAGGGTTAGGGTTAAGGTAAGGGTTTTAGGGGATTTTCGGTGGTTAGGGTTAGGATAAGAGTTAGGGTTAGGGCTTTCGATTAGCACTACGGTAGCCTAACTCGACAAAGTAGCTCAACTCGACAAAACACCGGCTGTACACCACCAACGTGAGGCACGTACTGCACATCCACTAATGGACACAAGGTGTCAGTGGTTCGTCAGAGTTAAAACAAAGCTTTCTACATTCAGTTAACTGGACACGATGTAAATTTAAAAAATGAAATTGCCCAAACAGTGACATTATTGGCGAAAGTTAATTGTATACCATTTCAAAGGCAACGGGAATAATTATATGTGTATGTACACGTTTGTGTGTGTGTGTGTGTGTGTGCGTGTGTGTGTGTGTGTGTGTGTGTGTGTGTGTGTGTGTAATAATTGAGTCATATTAAGGACCGCGTAAAAATTCAATAATGAGTGGCATCGTCGTATATTTGACATTCGGGTAATTTAGGAAAAGCCTTGTGGGGCAGCTGTTTTTATTGTTTTGATGTTCAGACTCCACCCAAAAGGAATTATTTTTCTGCACTGTATTTGGGAATGTAGCCAAAGGTATGGGATCTAATAAAACGCGAACTGGTGGATCGAAATGTGCGTATTGTGACGTGTAAAAATTAGGTTCTTTTCCAGGTAAACCCGAGAGATGACGCTTTGATTGTTAACCAGAGGATAGAAACGGGAAGTATTTGCAGTAAAACTGATCAATGTTTAACTTGAAAGCTATGATAATGAATCCAATTGAAATACATCATATTATTGTACAGATTCTAGGAGTTGACGGCAATCCCTTAGTCTTCCTAAGAAGGTCATCTGAATTTTCTACACACATGACTCGCTTTCAGCTACAGGGTGCGCGAGACCCTAACATAAATATTAAAGATTGCATGAACTTGGCCGAAGTCGTCCGAAGTCGACGTTTTTCGAATGGAAACCGTGAACATCAAGAGCAATAAGACCCCATTCGTTTAGTACGCTGCTGTTTTATATAGTATTCATTACCGTTTGGGAACCCCAGGCTGACTGAACATTCAAAGATTTAAGAAATAAGAGCATATTTTAAGTGTCAGATTTTTGAACTGGAAAACAACCACAAAATCACGGACCATTTTGAATGTTAATTTGAAAATGAGAGTATGAGTCCTTGCACGTTGTAGATAGGGATTTTCGATTATGACACGTGGAGTCACACGGCGGCGGTGTTGTCAAAGAAATTGAATAAATTCGGTAGCGTCTTCCATAACGTATAGGGTATGGTTAGTAGAGATTAGCTCAGCGGCAGGAATAGACCACAAAAGCCAGAAGCCCGACAAAACGCCAGACAAAGCATCAATGCTGTAAATTTTCAACTGCAATTATTTCTCCATGAAAGCAAGCATGAATTCCGTTTATTTCTGCGGACGTATTTAAATATTTGAGATCTAATCATGTGGAGCGGATATTGTACGAAAAGACTGGGATATGTATGGCCATCCATCCATTTTGTGTTTCTCCTGTCATTGTGTGAACGGACTACTCAGATTCGGTACCCCATCCAAGAAGAACTGCCGGTCGGCACCATAGTTGGAAATATAGCTAAAGACATGGGATTCGATAAAAGCCGGCTGGTGGATCGGAATCTACGTATAGTGACGGGAGCAAAGCAGGACCTTTTTCAGGTAAATCAAAGAGACGGCGCCCTATTTGTTAACCAGAGGATAGACAGAGAGGACCTTTGCGGTAAAACATCTCCATGTTTGATTAATCTGAAAGCTGTGATAGAAAATCCGCTGGAAATGCATCATATTACTGTAGAGATTTTAGATGTCAATGATAATTCTCCGAGTTTTCCAGACAAAAACGATCGATTAGAAATTCCGGAATTTACCGTGACAGGAGCACGATTTCAGCTTGAAGAAGCGCAAGATCCAGATATCGGCCTGAATGCTTTGCATTCATATAAGCTGAGTCAGAACGAGCATTTTCTTTTGGAAACAAAGGATTTGAGAAAAGATAGTAAAATCCCTATTTTAATATTGCAGAAGCCTTTGGATAGAGAAAATATAGCACAATATAATGTAACACTTACAGCTATAGATGGTGGCAACCCATCCAAATCTGGTACTCTAAATATTACTGTGATTGTTTTGGACGCTAACGACAATGCGCCAGTGTGTGACCAACAACAATATACAGTTATAGCAAAAGAAAATGTACCAATCGGAACTTTTTTATTAAAAATCAATGCCACTGACTCAGATGAGGGACTTAACGGTGAAGTGGAATTCTCATTCAGAAATAAATTCAGAAGCAAAGCTAATGAACTTGTAGATTTGGACTCCGAAACCGGAGAATTAACAGTAAAGGGGCTAATTGATTTTGAGGAAAGTAAAAATTATGAAATAAATATTGAGGTCTCTGATAAAGGAGCATTACCACTGAAAACACAATGCAGCGTATTTTTGAAAGTGGAGGATGTGAACGACAACAGGCCTGAGATAGACATCACCTCTTTGTCCAGTCACATTCCCGAGAACGCGCCTGTAGGTACCGTGGTGGCGCTGATCGGAGTAACTGACTTGGATTCAGGTTTGAATGGACAGGTAGTTTGTACACTGCCCGAAGGCATGCCATTTGAACTGAAACATTCGAGTGAGGACCATTTCTATTCATTAGTTACAAAGAGCCGCTTAGACAGAGAGTCAATGGCCAAGTACGATATAACAATAACAGCGAGGGACCTGGGATCCCCTTCGTTATCCTCCGTTAAGACAGTCCGCGTGGAATTATCAGACGTTAACGACAACAGACCGGTCTTCTTACAGAGCCCCTACACCTTCTACATGATAGAAAACAACGAGTCTGGGAACTCTGTTTTCACTGTAAGTGCCTCGGATGCAGATGAGAATGAAAATTCCCGAATTACATATGAACTTGAGAACGCAATACCAGGTCAAAGTGTAACATCTTTCTTAAACATTAACCCAGATAACGGGAACATACATGCATTGAAAAGCTTTGACTTTGAAACAATGAAAACCTTCCCGTTCCAAGTAGTAGCTAGA